AGGATGAAGAGGACGAGGCCGTCTCCCAACAGAGCGAGGAAGACGACGACTCTCCCAAGTCCGTCGTCGAGGTGATAACCTCCGGCGCGCGTCTGAGGATCGCGTTTTTACACGTGCCCGCATCAGCTTCTCAAATCCTGCATGCCCGCGCTATCTCGGACATGCTATGTCTTGATGTGTGATACTACTACCACTGCTACTGCTACTGCTACTGCTACTACTACTACTACTACTATTCTTACTACGAGTACTAACTACTACTACCACTACTATTGCTACTACTGCTACTACTACTACTACTACTACTACCACTATTCCTACTACTACCACTACTACTACTACTACTACTACTACTACTACTACTACTACTACTACTACTACTACTACTACTACTACTACTACTACTACTACTACTACTAATACTGATGCTGCTACTGCTACGACTACTACTACGACGACTACTACTATTACTACTACGACGGCTACTACTACGACTACTACTACTGCTACTACTATTACTACTAATACTACAACCAGTACTACTACTATAACCGTATCATCATTAACAACAACTACTACTATTACTATCATTACTGCTACTACTACTGCTACTACTACTGGGCTGGGGTGGTGTGGACGGCGATCACGTGTCCTCAAATATCCCAGTACACGGTTAAGGATTTGTGCTCCATCTGGCGCACGATACCTTTCGATGATGATGTCACCTGGCGGTCCTCCAGGGGACCTGTGCAGCGTATGCATCTCAGCCTTCATAGACTGGGGTGGGTTTCTACGTCGGCTTTGACCCTTCGCGACGATAAAGATAGAGAAGTCCATTTAGGTTACACCTCCCCGTCTATGCTCGCTCACCTCCTGGATCTCGCTTCCCAGAGGGCCCACGAGCGGGCCCTGGCCGAGCACACTCCTGGGTTTGGTGGCGATCGTGTTTGTGGTGAGCCCCTCAAGAAGATTCTGGGGCCCCAAGGGAAGGGCCTTAGCCCTCGGGAAAAATATCTGGCCCTCACCTGTTTTTGTAAGGGAGTGTGGACTCGTGCGCGAGCTCGCGCCTGTGGGTACCAGACGGACGGCTTGTGCCCACTTTGCGGGCAGCCCGACAGCGTGCGACACCGCATGTGGCAGTGCATGCACCCGACGGCGGCTACGGCACGAGCCGAAGCACTGGACGGGGTGCCCGTCGAATGGCATGCGGAGGCGATCGAGAGCGAGGATCGGCTTTTCTTTGATGAGATGAAATGGTCCCACCCTGAAGCCTCGTACCCGCCCCCCTCCCCCGAGCCTAACCCTCAACTGTATGATGCCTCGGGTGCCGCTGTGCCTTGGGATGCGATCGACTTGCGGGGGCTCGATGTGTGCGTGGATGGTTCGGCCAGCAGACACTGTATCCGTGAGCTCTCGAGAGCTTCCTACTCCTGGATCTTTTTGGGGGCCCCGACCCAATGAAATTGTTGCCACTGCTCGTGGCACGGTCCTGGACACCCTGCCCCAAACATCACAGGCCGCCGAACATCAGGCGATGGCTTTGCTTCCCATGTTCCAGCAGCTCGGAGGAAGCAGGTACGGGGACAGCCTGACCGTCGTTAAGTTATGCCGTGCGTATCCCAGGCATCAAGTTTCTAGGAAGCATCGTTATGCTGGTCTGCGTCGCAGATTGCTGCTGCACGAAGTCGCTGGCCATTATCCTGTTGTCTTTCATACGCCAGCGCACCGACAGTTGGCGGAGATTGACGCTCTGCCAGATGACGAACGTCGTATCGGCTTGGGAAACTGGCATGCAGATGCTCAGGCCAAAACAGCTCTCCTCTCTCACCCCCAACCCTCTCAGAATGAAAGCGAGGAGGTGGACAGGAAATGTAAACTACTGCGGATTGTTGCACGTGTATGTGGAAAGGTCCTTTCGGCCTTCCCTCATGAGAGATTTGATCGTATGAGCTTTGGCCCTAGGTCCAAGATTTTAAAATCAGGGGGCTGGCATGCGTGGCAGGACCTCGAACAAGGCAGGGCACGGTGCTTGCATTGCCTTGCTTTATGGGCCGACCCGCTTTCCAGACCTATGTTAGGGTGCAAAGGCATGAGTAGCACGTGGCGTAAAACTTTAGATGTCAGCCTCGGTCACACCCTTGCCCACTGCCGAGTCTTAAAGGGTGATGCCGAGAAAACCTTTTTTTTTTTGCAGCGTGTGTGGAGCGTACACAGCCAGCCGCTGCCATAAGCTAGGGCAGGAGTGTTCACAACGTCGGTTGAGCGGAGCTCCGACAATTCTCCGCCGCATACACAATGGCCTCTATCCGCATTATCGGGACCCTTCGAGGCTCACGAGCAGCACGAGAAGAGGCAGCTCGTTGTTGTGCTTTTCTGCGTCTCAGCCACCGCCACAGGAGGTGGTCGTTTCAGGAGTTAATGTTTCTGGCCTCGTCCAGACACCTGGTATGATCGCGCTGCAGGCGCGGATCCAGGCAAAGGAGGCGGCCGCCAGTTCGAGTGATCGAGTTGTCACGGCATCTCGGCACCTCTCTTCGGCATCGAGTCAGAGGCCCTCTAGCGCACATGCGCGCGTAGAGGAGCCCGTAGACGATTTTGCTGCCGATGAAGAGGCGGCGAGATCCTTGGGTGTCTTTCTTGCTGATGGACAGGAGCCACGAGAGCCTTCTGGCCAAACTTTGCGCGAGGCAGCCGCGCGCCTCGCCCATGATGAGGATGAGGGTCCTCTTATGGCAGCCGAGGATGAGGCGTTTCACGTCGACCGCGTTTAATGTTGCCGCAGTGTGCTTGTGCGTGTCACCAGTGGTCTGGCGAAGTTAGCTTCGTAGACCGTGCTGGCGCCGTGTGCTTGCGCTCTGCCTGGTTTGTTTTCTGAGCCTCCTGTGCAACGCCTCAGGTCGCTCTCGACCGAGGTTCGAGCATAAGCCTCCTCGGGCGCCGCTGATAGCAGAGTTCATGCCCTATGGGACCGATGACGAAACTGCTACTACTACTACTCCGGCTACTACTATTACTACTACTACTACTACTACTACTACTACAACTACAAGTACTACTACTACTACTACTACTACTACTACTACTACTACTACTACTACTTCTACTACTTCTACTACTGTTACTACTACTACTACTACTACTACTACTACTACTACTACTACTACTACTACTACTACTACTACTACTACTACCACTACTACTACCACTACTACTACTACTACGACTACTACGACTACGACTACGACTACGACGGCTACGATTACTGTTTCTACTACTACTACTACTACTACTACTACTACTACTACTACTACTACTACTATTACTACTAATCATAATAATAATACAGATAATACTCATACTGCCGTTGCTGCTGCTACTGCTGCTACGACCACTACTGCCACTACTACCACTACTGGTACTAGTACTAGTACCAGGACCATTGCTATTACGAGTACTACTACGATTCACATTACCACCACGACGGCGACGACTAATAAAACAACAATTGCTACTACTACTATTGTTACTACTACTACTACTGCTACTGCTACTACTACTACTACTACTACTACTACTACTACTACTACTACTACTACTACTACTACTACTACTACTACTACTACTACTACTACTACTACTACTACTACTACTACTACTACTACTACTACTACTACTACTACTACTACTACTACTACTACTACTACTACTACTACTACACTACTACTACTACTACTACTACTACTACTACTACTACTACTACTACTACTACTACTACTACTACTACTACTACTACTACTACTACTACTACTACTACTACTACTACTACTACTACTACTACTACTACTACTACTACTACTACTACTACTACTACTACTACTACTACTACTACTACTACTACTACTACTACTGCTGCTGCTGCTACTACTACTACTACTACTACTACGACTTCAGCTACTACTACTGCAGTATCACCACTTCCGCTCACACATCTGTGGCGAACATGTGCAATGGCAGGGCATGGGAACGCATCGGAATCGTTTGATCCAGTTTGAGACAGGAGCTGGCTGGGCGAGGGGCGGCTGCCGAGGTAGGGGCGGCGAGGGACGCGCGGAGGCGGAGAGAGAGAGAGAGAAAGACATAGAGGATATATATATATATATATAGAGAGAGAGAGAGAGAGAGAGAGAGAGAGAGAGAGAGAGAGAGAGAGACAGAGAGAGAGAGACAGAGAGAGAGACAGAGAGAGAGAGAGAGACAGAGAGAGAGAGAGGCACGAGATAGAGAGAGAGAGAGAGAGCGAGAGAGAGACATAGAGGAGCGACATAGAGGAGAGATAAAGAGGGGGGGGGGGAAAGCGGCGCCAAGGAAGAGTAGAGCGGGTATACCGCGCCGACACCAGCAGCAGGCAGACGATCCCCCGCCACCAAGAGAAGAAACACATTAAAAACGCAGGGGGGGGGGGGGCGATTCGACCCTTGAAACCCGAGTCTGACCCAACAGATCGCACGCCTTGGCATCCCCGCCCTTCTCCGCCCTCCTTCGGATAGCAGGATCTGCTGCGTAAGCATCATGTATCGGAGACCCGCGCGGATTTCTCGGATCGGTGTTGCCCCCCCCCCCCCCCCCTCCCCCCGCGGCGACCTCAGCGCCCCACTCTGGCGCGCATCCGTACACTCCGAGAAATTATGGTTATGCCATGTCTTGTTCCTTTATTTCCCAACCATGTTGTGGTGTTGGGTCCTCGTTTTGAAGAGCCAGCGCCGTGCGTCACCCCTCCTCTCCGTCTCCCCCTCCTCCCTCCCTCCTCCCAACATCATCATTGTTATCATCGTCATCGTCATCGTGATCGTCATCATCATCATCATCATCATCATCATCATCATCATCATCATCATCATCGGCCCCATGGCCGTCATCATCATCATCAGCAGCATCATCATCAGCAGCATCATCAGCATCGTCATCATCACCACCACCATCATCATCATCATCATCATCAT